CTCCACATGTTGAATGCCAGCATATGCACCATGAATCCTGGAAGACTAGAATTGATACATACACTTGGCCTGAAGTCTTACACTCCAGGCTCAGCAATGGAATTTGCATTCACCTACACATTAATGACAAACTCTGGGTTAGTATAGGAGAAGCCAGCAAATTCATTTTGGTCCAAGTTCATGATGAAGAGTTTATCAGTAGGCGTGAGTTCCACAGGCTGTCTGGTGAACTCTTTGTCGAAGTTGGAGGTGTCTCGCTTGTCTCTCTGCCAAATGGAAAGCAAACACATTAACACAGCAGCAGAAGAAGAAAACAAGACCAAGACAAGCCAGTTACTGGGAAGCTGATGACATCTCATGGGCAGAGTCAGAAAGAGCCCTGTGCTGACAGATTTTAGCAGCTGCATTGTGCATACCATCCCCTAGCTTTCGTTTCACATTGTATGTTGGCTTCAGGAGAGAAAACTTGGTGTAAAATCTCTGAGAAAGGAAATGAGACATTAAATTTCTTTCAGGGTTGCCATAAAGTGGTGTGTGTGTATGTGTTCTGTTTTCTTTGCCTTTGAGATGAATTGGGTTGGAAACTACTTCTTACCATGAATAACGTCATAGAATTTGTCATGGGGTAGAGAGTCCCAGAAAAAAACATCTAATAGCGACCCCTGTGGCTAGGAGGCTCCTTTCTTTAACAGGGAGACCAGCTGCACAACCACTCAGCCCCCAAGTAGGCAAAGCGGTGTGTGAGGAAATCAGATCACTGCTAATGAAAGGAGCTGACCACTGTCCGCCCTACATTCCCTGCTGCAATCTAGGCTTGGAAAGGATGCTCGGAAATCCACCCACAGACTGGAATTTGGGTCTTCATCAGCCAGAGGTTCTCTCCAAGAATGTTTATAGCCTGTATCTAGTCAACAAACTGTAAGAAACAAAACCCAAAGCTTAAAGTAAGGTCTGTAGGGGCAGCCTTTAAACAAACAAAAATTCTATTCTCCTAGTTAGTCTGGTATTTCTTTTTTTTGGGGGGATGGGCTTGATCCCAGTTTACTAACTACAGTTTGGGGCAAGGTTTACCAGGGAATGTCAGAGAGTGTTCTACTAAAAACATCTCACAGCTGTGAGATGCTCTCACCTCTTCAGGGTCTATGTCAGCCTGTCGTCTTTTCCCATCCTCACCATCCACCTGGGCACAGGCAGAGCTGGAGTCCTCACCCCTCATGGTTTGATATAGGAGAAAACCGAGGCCCAGGAAGGTAAAGTGACTTGCCCAAGATTGCACAGTGGGTTAACGATTTTTACCTGACCACATGGCTCCTAATTATGCCTCATCTCAGCCCCTCTGACTCGAGGGACAGCCTAGTGGCTGGTTCACTACAGGAAAGCCAAGGATATGGCCTGGGTTTCACCGGTACTGGGAAGATTGTCTGGCTGAAGCCGGAGTTGTATCAGATGGTCAAGAGGGAGGGTCAGTGAGGACTGACTGACTTGCTAGAGTCTGGCCAATGGCCATCCATGCTTTAGGGTTGACTCCCAATGGGCCCTGACTGGGAAGGATTTCTCATTGCTGGGCCCGTTCTCCTTTGCAAAACACCTCTCACAAAAATGCCTCCTTTTGGGCTGCTCCCTTGAAATGGGTGAAATGTGCCTCTGGATTCTCCACTCCGTCTTGCAGTGCGCGTGCTGGGCTATAGGAGTGAGGGCGACGTCAGAAACGCACTTCAGCACGTGTGGCCAGAGCAGAGCGGCTGAAGGTGCCGATGGAGCTGTTTTCTGGATGATGGGTCATCTCCTGCCACGCCCCACCCATCCTGCTTTGTCTCGTCCTGCCTGCTGTCAGCTCGTCCTATGCTGTCCCAGGCACCAAATGCATCACTTCCTGTGATCAGAGAGAAGGTCGAATGCCACCTCTTCCTTTCATACTGTCTCTGCATCCCTTTCCTGACACCGTAAATCATGCTTCAGCATCCTCTGAATTGTCTTCAAGGCACTTGCTGCCGTTAGCAATTGTCTTGTTCATTTATTGCCTCTCTCCAGGAGGGCAGGGTCCTTGACTGTTTCTTCACTATTGTATTTCCGGTGCCAAGAACAGTGCTTGGCACACAGCAGGCTGTCCACAATTATTTGTTGAAGGAATGAATCAATGAATGAAGACTTGACTAAGGATGAGCCTCTTCACTGTTCTGAACTTATAGTCAGTTCCCGAGGCAGAGACTTCACTCTACAGCAAAACAATTGTTCCCTTTGATTTTAAGGGTCTCTCCCATGGGCCACTGCCCATTTTGAACCCCAGTATAGACTGAACTGTGTTAGTCCCCTTCAAGATCTGAGAGCTCCAGGGATGGGTTTATCTCGGGCTAGAAGGCAGGCAGCTGCCTTCTTTCAGGTCTCCCCTGGGAACATCAACCCCATGTGGCCTGCCCTGCCTGTGGGTGTCCAGCGGAGGTTCCCTTCCCACTACCCACAACTTTGAAAGCCCTTCCCCATTTGTTGTGCTGGTGATGTCTCATGCTTCAAACAGCCACATGGTCCAAAGAGGACTAGCCATTATGGACTTTGTCCTATTGGCAGATCCCCCTAGGAAATACCCCTGAATTTTATCCTAGAAGTTGGGAGAGAATGTTGGGACAATTCCTTTCTGGGTTGATAGCATCTGAAGCCACATGAGAATAGTCTCACTCATCCAGTGAGGGTTATTAATTCCATTGGCCTCCTGTTAATTCCCCAAGAAGGTCACTGTGCCCGTGGTGCTATCTTTTCTTAGAAGAGGAGCAGGTTAGTGAGAAGTCTAAGAAATGAAAAGAGGGGTTCCTGGATCCTGGTAGAAAATTAGCCATGGCTAATGTGGACTGTGTTTAGGTTTCTTTGGATTTTCTTACTTAGTTTCTTTTTTAAAATTCTGCCCTAATTTAAGTTCTTTTGGAAAATCTCAGCCTGTCTTATCTAGAAGAACCAGGTGGTGTCAAGCCAGGGGGCAGTGTGCTGGAAGGAGAGCAGTGTGTCCCTGGGGGCCAGGAAGGGTAATGCCTGCAAGAATCTGAGTCATATATCCCAAGAGGTGAGACTCAGGACTTGGAATTGAGCTGTAAAACCAGCTCCCTCTCTCCATATGGGTATCTGCCTCTGCTCAAATCTTGGTGATCCTGTGGTCTGTTCAAGCAAAGAGACTGTGCCTTTGGCCTTCTCGAAGGAAACCCACCCCTGCTTCTATCCTGCCTCTCTCTTCCCTCACCCATTGCACTATAGGATTGACCCAGAAATCTGGGTCAAGAGGGCGCTGCTGCCCCTTCTTCTTCAGCCTCAAACTGTGGTCTCCAGAGAGAAAGAGGAGCCCCAAATGCCTTTGATGAGTTTTTCTTTCTTTTAAGGAGCTGCACTGACTAACTCAGAGACTAGTTATCTCCAGATCACATCTCGCTTTTAATCACTTGTTTGATGACTGCCCTCCTGGACTGCATCTGGATGGCTCCCCACGGTGCTCCTGGCGCCCAGCATAGAGCGTGGCACACAGCTGGTGCTCGGTAAATGCTGGCTGGGTGATGAATGGAGGGTGGTAATAGATGGATGATAGCAAAAATAAACTAAAAATCTTCCTTCTTGGATAAATCTGCAAAGTATTGCCCAGAGATTATATATGTTAAAAGCTCTGTTTCTTGGTCTTCTCTGTACTTGAAACGTTGATAGAAAAGGAAACTGCAGGAATTCTGACTAATGATCCCTTACTTCCACAGAAGGCTTCCCTGACCAACCCTTGGCACGGTGTGTTAGGGGAATAGAGACTTTGGCTTGAGTATCTATTTCTGCAAAGTATTAAACTTCTGAAAAATAAGGGCAGCAATTTGGAGAATGTAGAGTGCAGTGTATATATACAGTATATTTTATCTATCTATCTATCTATCTTACATTGTTCTCTAAAGTTGTCTCAAATCATTTGTCAGTGGCCCAGTTTCTTCATGGTTTTGTCTTCCTGAGAGTATATCCGAGGAAAAGCCTGGTGACACAACAGCCAGATGAAGGACCTCGAATAACTTGCCTGTTGGTGGGCATGGCTCAGAGAGGCCAGTTATAGAGCAGAAAGAGTGGTGCACTGAGAGTCAGGACACCGAGGTTTGCATCCCAGCTGGCTAACCTTGGGCAAGTCACTTCTTCTCTCCAGATGCCAGTTTCCCCAACAATAAAATGAGAGGGTTGTGCCCCGATCTCCCTCCTTCTCTGGCCCCCTAAGCTTCCTAAGCTTGTCAGCTGGGCCTTCAAGTTTGCTTCCCCTGAGGTCTAGATTGCTGCTACCATGGCGGCAGTGGGGATGGTCCCAAAGGAGAAGCAAGAGGGCAGAAAGGAATGAATGGAAGGGCCTTGGCCTCAGCAGAAATCCAAATCATGGTTTTCTTCAGATGAGAAGTCTTACTTCAAGGACATTTATCAAGTTTTTAAAGTTCCCTTGATGGTCTCTCAGAAGCCCTGGTGCTTCTGGAAATCACTCGACTTGTGATAAGAATTCTCTTTAGGGCTGCCTGCGATAGCAGGAGGCAGCAGGCAGGATGGGGAGCCATTTGCTGTCCTGATCTGCTCAGATGGAAATGGGACTTCCCCCACCCAAGGGGTTTCCTTGGGCTTCTGGGGGCTCATAAAGCTGCTTGCTAGAAAGAATATTTAGTCCAAGCTGGGAAGACTGGTGATTTTGATAAGAAAATCAAGAGCATGCCCCAGCCATGCTCCTAGCTGGCCCCTAAACTCGACTCTGGTGGGAAAGTGGGCTTTGAGCTCTGATATCCTTGGAGGCCCCCCAGCTAGCTCACCCCACCCCATTGCAGGCCACCAGGAGTCCCTGAATGGTCCCTGGTCCCAGCATCTCTGACTGGCTGGACACTGGGGCCAAGATTAAGCTGTGGGTTTAGCTCCTTTCTGTCCCAAAGCCTCACGAGGCCCCACTTTGTAGTTTGGGTCCACATTTTTCAAAGACAGTCGTTTTCCTTGAAATAGCATTTCTTCTTCTTTCTTTTTTTTATTTATTGTATCTCGATGCTAGAAGAAAAATGGCACATAGATATCCAGATACAAATGAGCACTTCCACATACATCTTACAAAACAACATCAAAGTGAAGAATACAACCGTCTATGTGTCAAGAAATGGTGTCTTTCTCAGAGCAAGTAATTAGCTTTCCAAAGCCAGCAACAAACCTAGACAAATCCCACCCACACGGGCACGGGTCTGCCAGGCTCCAGAGCCGTCTTCTCGGTAAATCAAAGCAGGTCACTGTGGTTAATAACATTTGGACACATATCTCAAAGCATGTGTAACAAAATGAGTAAATTTTTTTTTTTTTTTGCATTTGAACAACAACAGAAATAAAACCCCAAAGCAAATAAAGTTTGAAATGTAATGTAAAACCGTGGCCCGGTGGGACCTTGCTGGAGTGACCATGTCTTTTCAGGGAGCGGTGCCAAATGCCCTTTTCAAGTAGTTTGGGCGTGAAGCTGATGGGGAACATACAGTATCAGAAATTACAGCCCTGAGGTAGCACCCAAGTTGGTTGCCTTTTGACCTTTGAGGTGCTTTTAGATGGAAACTGTCTAAAAGCACACTCTTAGAATTTTCAAAGGGCTTAGGTAATCTTCTTAACTTTGAGTTTAAAAAAAATAACAAATAAAATTTTATTTTTAGCATGTTCTTTTCAAAGCTCATGGTGTCTCCAATGAGCAGAACGGAGGAATTCCCTCTAAATCAAAGCAACCATATACTTGGATACAAGCCAAGCTCCAGGTCCAGAAGTGGAAGAATACTGCCAGCATCCGATTATCCACTCATTTGGTAGGAAAAATCTAGATTGGATGGTTGAAGTTGGAGAATGTGTGAAAACAGCAGTGCAGAATAAAAGGGAGAGAAAGCAGGCATTTTCTGTCCCCACTGGATCTACTTAGCTGACATGCTGGAAAAAATAAATTGTAAGAGGACTTTGATAATGTGTTAATTATGCAGCAGCATTTCGACACACCATCTGCATAATCCCATCTCACAGAGATGCTCCAAACTACCTGAGGACATTTGGGCTCTGAAACATGGTCACTCTAGACTCATCAGCAAATAAAAACATGGATGCAACTTTGCAATGAAAGAAAATGTCACCACAATAGCCGTTGAGCTTGAATGACAGAAATGAAGGACGGAGATCTACACATCTACTTAGCTCTTGACTTCAGGTTTTAAAAATTCAGAGTTAACAAAGGAAAATCCTTCGAATTCTGATTGGTCAATATTCCTGATGACTTCCTGGTCAGGAGGAGTTAGGACTGGTGGATGGCGGGTGAAAAATCGGTCGAAGTTTTCAGCATTTCGCCCACACTATGAGAGGGGAAGAAAAGAACTTGTGGTGGGTGGAAAAAAAAGAACCAAAAATCAAAACAACAGAACCAAACAAAATTGGGTGTGGTTTTCTCCAATCCCTTCCCTTTCACTGCCTCAGAGAGATTGTTTCAATGATCAGAAATGAGAGCAACATAAAATGCAAAATTCTCATGACCTTGGGCTCCCGACCTTCAGTTCCTGTAGCTCGTGAGCTGCCCCTGGTGGCCTTCTGGGCAGTCAGGAGCTGCGTGGCAAAGGCATGAGATGGTGGGGCTGGTGGCATGTAGCATGTCCCTCCACCCCACCCCAAGGAGTCAGCCAAGCTCATCTGTTGAAAGAGAGGGGATTAAGGTACCTGAGATGTTTCACTGGCACAAGATGCAAAGTAATGACCCGCTTATACATCACCTGGGAGATCCCAAAACTTAGCAGCAGGTCCCTCAAAGTGCTTTCCTCTGGCTCTCAATCAGGAACAAGTGGCATTTTCTAGCTCAAGATACAGGAGTTTACAAACTGCAGTCAACGGAGAAGGATCCCAAGACCCGGGTTTACTGCCTGCAATGCCTGGGCCACCGCAAGGCCCTGGTGGGCTGGGTAAGTCATTGACCCTTACTTACAAGGTGCCAGGAGGTAAACTCAGGCATTGTCTCTTGAGGTGGGAACGACAGGTGTGGGATGAAACACAAACCAGAGTTCGATGGGGCAATCAGATTCTAGGGAGAAAATCCTTGCCATTTCTCACCCATCCTGCGCCCCTTCTACTGTATATGAAAAGGTCCTGGTCTGAGGCAGAGTGGTAACATGTGTGTGTGTGTGTGTGTGTGTGCATGTGTGTACCTGTGTATGTTCATGCATGTGTACACATACATGTACACGCTAATTCCCACCTAATGAGAAGAGACCAGTCACTAATCTGATGTTCTTTGTTCTTCACCAGCAAAATCCATTTGCACAAAAGTTCTAAGTGTTTCAAATATAGTGTCTATAGGAGGTAACCACAACCTCATAATATAGTAGTAGTAGTAATAATAATAATTATGACAGCTAATATGTATTATGCATCTTCCCTATGCCAGGCACCCTGGAATGCTCTTTCCTTGCGTTATCTCATTTAATCCTCCCAATGACCCTATGAAGTGGGTATTATTATCATCCCTATTGTACAGATGGGGAAACTGAGGCCAGGGAGATTATGTAGTCTGTTCAAGACCACACAGCTAACCACTAGCAGAGCTGCAATGTGAGCCAGGTCTGAGGGACGTCACAGCCAAGCTCCCGGCTCTGTTTTACGAGAACAGTTGACAGGCTGCTGACTGACTGGATAACGGAGTGCAGCAGGGGTGGATGGGGAGGGAGGAGAAGTCAAGATGGGACCATGAGGTCTCCGGTTTGAATGACAGAGAATGTGGCTGTAGCAATCACCGAGACAAAGAAAGCGGGAGAATTGGGAGAGATGACTATTTCTATTCTGGACATGAAGACTTTGCGGGACCTGTGAGAGTCTAGGAGGTGACCTGAGGCAGTTAGAAGTACCGGTTCTGGAGCATGGGAGAGAGATCTTGAAAAGAAATTCAAAGGACAGAATATGAAGGGTGGAAAGGAGATAGCAATACTAGTAATAAAAAGCACTGAGCAGTTCCCAGGCAATTGACACCTGCCAAGTGTTCCACATATGTTACGTTTTTAATTCACATGACCACCCTGTGAGGTAGGGGTTTCATTCCCATCTGCCAATGAGAAAAGTGCCTCTAAAACTTCAAGCGGTAAGAGGAGAACCAGGAGAGAGCGACAGCAGACAAGCTGAGGACCGAGAGGGAGCCGAGGAGAATCCAAGGAGAAGGGCATCGTTATAGTGGAAATATCTCCAAGAGTCAAGCGGGAAAGTCGCTGACAATGGGCCATTGCACTTGGCAACTGGGAGGCGTCTGAGGAGAAAATGTAGGGCTGCCATTGAACTTCAGTGGCCGGAAGAGGGAAGGTCAGTTGAGAAAGTTGAGGAGCACCAGCTCCTCTTCCAAGCCCTGTGGTCAACGGAAGCCAAGGTACTGGACATGCGTGACCGGGACCTAGCTCCTCTTCCAAGCCCTGTGGTCAACGGAAGCCAAGGTACTGGACATGCGTGACCGGGACCTAGCTCTCAGAGGGCAGCCTCCTGCTCACTTCCTATTTGGGCAGAAGGAAGCCCACACAGCCATACCCTGCAGAGATGGGTTCAAATCCAGGCATCGCTACCCACTAGCTGTGCAGCTGTGGGCAAGTCCCTTCAAGTCTCAGTTTCCTCTTTCGTGATGGGGACAATTCTCATTCCTCTCACACGCGGTCCTGATGAGGATAACGTGAGATAATGTGTGTGATGGGTACAGTGGCTGGCTCAAGACATCTCAGCCATATGTATTATTTGGTTCTCGTGTTCCACTACAAACCCCTCCAGGGGGCATATGCTCCCTACGGTGGGGCGCTTTCATGATGTTTAAGTTTTAAATCCTGAGGAAAGAGCCCTGTATTTTTAAAAGACTCACGTCGGACTTAGAGAAATACGTTTGTTACTCCAAGCTAAATTGTTTCAGCTGCTCTGATATCTTGGCTTCAGGTCGCAGGAAATGAGAAGTGACCTTCAGCCACACACGATCAAGACTTAGGGTCTGCTCAGCTGGCCAGTGGGGAAAACGCCCCAAAAGGATGGACCCTGAGGGTCAACACAGGACTCACTCTCAGTGGTCAGGACTACTGCCCAGATCCTTTCATTGTTTATTCATTTTCTCATTCAACAAATATTTATTGAGTACCTACTATGTGCCAGTAGTAAATTATACAAGATCCATGCCTCATGGAACTTACATTCTCCTGGGGAAGAAAGGCAACAAACAAATAAAAATATAACTGCAAATGTAAATATATATTTTAATGCCGGACAGAGATAAGCAATATTAAGAAAAATAAAGCCAGGTCAGGGATAAAGAGTGAGAATAATGCCATTTTCAGTAAGGTGGTCCACTCTGAGGAAATGACCTTTGAGGGAGCCCTGAGTGAAGTGAGGGAGGGAGCCTTTTTCATCTGTGGAGGAAAAGCATTGTAGGCAGAAGGAACAGCATATGCAAAGGCCCTGAGACAGGAGCTTGCTTGGCATAGTCACCAAACAGCAATGAGGCCACTGTGACCAGAGCAGTGGTCACACTGCTCTGGGAGTGGGAGAGGGGTCAGAGAGGTGGCCAGAAGCCAGATCATAGACCTCACCAGCCATGTGAGGGCAGAGGATTCTCATCTCAGCTTGATGAGAAGCCACTGGAGAATTCTGAACACTGAGTGCTGTGCTCTCACTTATGTTGAAGCAGGACCATTGGTGCTGTGTACAAAATAGACCGATGGGCAGGGGGCAATGATGGAAACAGTGAGATGAGTTAGGAGGCTGTTAAAATAATTCAGGCAAGAGATAACAGCGGCTTGGAGGAAGGTGAGAGTGGGGGAGACGGAAAGATGTGTTTGCATTGGGGGTATATTTTGAATTTGGAGTTGACAAGATTTGCTGATGGATCAGATGTGGGGTATGAGAGGAAGAGAGGACCTGTCAGTGACCCCAAGACTTTTGGCCTGAGCCACTAGGGGAGTGGAGGATGCGAGAGGTAGAGCATATTTGTGGGGGGGAAATAGAGCACTTGGTTTCATTACGGTAAGTTTGAGAGTCCAGTGGAGAGGTCAAGGATGGAACGGGAGTCTCCTCGCTGTGGTGGGGACTGAAGAGGAGCGGGAGCTAGACTGATGGCAGAGGCAGTGGGGAGGGTAGAAGATGGCTGCAATCATCCAGAGGAGGGAGATGGTGGATAGCGCCGTGGAAAAGGGGGCGGGGCAGAGGGGATGGAGCGGGAAAATACCAAGAGGTGCCCGTGGCCCGGACTGTTGGAGTGAGTGGCATATTTAAGGCAGACCTGCGGTGTTTCTCTTTGGCCTGGGTGTTGGGACCCAAACCAGTCAGTGCAGGAAGCATGTTAGCTAGACACAGAACGTCTTCAGGGGCCATTTTTCTTTAAAAACCATCCATGTCCCATTCGTGCCAGAAGGATGTTGCTTTGCCGGGGCCTCCCCAGAGGCTGTGACGGGAGACAGAGAAACAGCTTCTGGCAGCTCTGCAGCCTCCCCTCCCATCACTCCCCTCACCGCCTCCTGGGAGAGCAATGAAATCTTTAAGTGAGACAGCAGAGAGGAGAGGCGAGAACAGGGGTTAACCAAGGGGGCACAACACAGCACAAGCGTGAGTTCCCTGCTAATAAGCAGCTTACGGGGCTGGCAGATCACAGCCTCCCTAAGTGTTTCCGTGTTTTTCAAATGGAGCTGTCACTGCCCATTAGCTTCAGGAGCGCTCCCTAAATGGAGACGTCAGCCCTCGGGAGGCACAGCCTGGATCAGCTCTGCGCCTGCGGTGTCCTTGGAGAATGGGCAGCTGGGCGGCCGGGATCTAATTACAGACGCAGTGTGGACCACACCTGCTTCTCTGGCTGTCCTGGGTGGATATTTCAGCCTCACTCAGCTACTAAAAGAAAACCCAACCCCCTTGTCATCCGGATACACCACTGGGGCTCCTGGAACAGGGATGGGGGTCCAAACCAACTAGGTTCCTTACATCAGATGGCACCTCTTCCAGGGCTGGAGAGGGGAGTAAGGATTGTGACTTGTCCAACTGTGCCACTGAAGTTAAGAACCTAGACAGCTGGTAAAGCTTATCTGTGAGCTGTTACATGTGAGCTCTTTTCTTTTTCTTCTCTTCTTTCTAACGTCTGTTTCACTGTGTTAATAACAGCTCCAAGTCTAGCTGTGGGATGTGGAGTTGGCTCAGACACAGAAGCCACAGGGATCTTTCAAAGACGCCAACCTGGATATGTCACTTCCCTGCTCTAATCAGCAATGGCTCCCCATTGCCCAAAGCCCACACTGCTTAGCATGGCTTACGGGGCTGTTTAGGACTTGGCCCCGGTCATCTGGTCAATAGCCCCCTCACTGCCTGC